GCTCTTTCTGGGCTACGTCCCGTGTACAACCTCTGCTTTGCCGCTCGCCGTCACTAGGCCGGGGCAGTTTGATATGCGATGCGCATTCGCGTAGATAGGTTTGCTTGTCCCTGATCTGGTTTGGTCCCGTGTGGTGATGCCTGCGCCTGCTAGTGTGTTTTGGTTTGTTGGGATCTATGTTTTCGATCTTATCGATCGACCGCTTATTGCTGCATATTTGTCAGCGTGTGTGGGTTTGCAAATGGGTAGAATCTGATCATGGTAGAATCTAGTGATGCATCCTTTATCAAGCGTTTGGCCAGGATTTATAGTTAAGGACACAAGAACTTGACGGGGGTTTCAAGGTTTCAGTTGGGCTAGATGTGGTAGGGCTGTTTACTGACACTTGTCAATCTCACGTATCATTTTGTAAGGTTGCGACTCTGCTAGTTGGTAATTAGAGGACGTGATTATTGTGGTACTTGGAATTGTAATTTATGACCAACAACGAATTCGAGATACACATTGTGGTGTAAACTTCATCACTGCAGCTCCATTGTATGCGGTTTTAGCCTTTTAGGACTCAAAATGTCCCTTATTGATGATACAGTGTCAGTTCTAATAATTTGTGACCAACAACGAATTCGATACACATTGTGGTGTAAACTTTATCGCTGCAGTTCCATTGTATGCGGTTTTAGCCTTTTAGGACTAAAAAATGTCCCTTCTTGATGATACTGTGTCAGTTCTAATTTCTAGGTTTAATGTGTTATTTTGATGTGATGCATTTATAGTAGTATTGTCACTCTCAGATTATTTCAGAGCACATTACTTACTGCATTTGTCTGCCAAGTTTTTACTTGTTCATGTGTATAAGCAAGTCCAGTAGTTTCCAGCTAGTTGCAAAGTAGTTATAATGTTTTCTATCTATCCATTTTCCAGACTGAGAAGGCTTTCCTCAAGCAGCCTAAGGTTTTCCTCAGGTGAGAGCTTCTTGCCTCTTCCATGCTTTCTATTCTCTGTGAGCAATATACATTTCGTGACCATAGATTTCTTCTTAATTTTATAGCTCAAAGAAATCTGGCAAGGGTAAGAAGCCTGGCAAGGGAGGCAACCGGTTCTGGAAGAGCATTGGCCTTGGCTTCAAGACTCCCAGGGAAGCAATTGAAGGTATAATGGTTTCCTTCGTGCTGGAAGCTGTCTTCGAAGTCCTAGTGTTTGAAGGCGGGCATTGTTATTTGAGATAATTAAGGACAAATGGTTGTCTATTTATACTGAAAGAACTAAGAGTTCTAAAGCATAAATTGGTAGTGTAACTCTAACTTTCAATCCCTTGATTTAAAACGCTAATAGGTGATTAGGTCATGATTCCTAGTGATATGATGTACCTTGTTTTAGATGGTGAGGGACAACATGTACTGTTTATACTACTTTTCTGTTCTGAATTATTTTTTGTTCCTGCTTATTGTATTTTTTGTCCTTAATTGAATTGGTAGTCTGGCTCCGAATTTCATTTCCTATTTTGAAAACAATGAGGTTTTGATCCCAAGTACTATGGGTCTATGGCACATGAAAACAATGCAATTCTTAGTGATTGTTCTTGCATGCGTAACAGATCTTTAATATTTGTTTGCCTACAGGGACCTACATTGACAAGAAATGCCCATTCACTGGAACCGTTTCTATCAGAGGCAGAATTATTGCTGGAACATGCCACAGTGCTAAGATGAACAGAACCATCATTGTTCGCAGGAACTACCTCCACTTTGTTAAGAAATACCAGAGGTAATTGGACTGTTTGTGGAACCTAGACTGTTTTGTCTTCCAAATGAACCTTGTTTCTAACATGAGCTACTCATGTGCCTTCAGGTATGAGAAGAGGCACTCCAACATTCCAGCTCACATCTCCCCATGCTTCCGTGTGAAGGAAGGTGACTATGTCATCATTGGCCAGTGCAGGTAATACTTGTGTCTGATCACTTGTTCTCTTTTGAGTCTAGCTTACCTGGTTTGTCAAGATCAATAAAATGGGCTGCAGATCCTTCTACATTCAGCAATGAAACAAAACTACCACCATATTGAACATAATGTTTTCAGTTTAGTTGAAAATCATATGCAGACGAACATGATCCTTTGCTGAAGCATATGTTTTTGTACTGTGAACAGGCCCCTGTCAAAAACTGTGAGGTTCAATGTCGTTAAAGTTATTCCAGCTGGATCTGCTGCCGCTGGCAAGAAGGCTTTCACCGCAGCCTGAGTTTAGACTATGTTCCATGAGTAGTCTATAGAACGATGTCTTTTTTGTTCAAAAAAGTCGCTGCTAGGCTGGTGCTTTTCGATTATGGTTTCGAGATTGTTCCCATCTCAATGAAGTCCCTTCATCTGAACATGTTACTATTTATTGTACCTTGTCGTGCAAAGTTTTGCTAAGATCTGTATTGTTTTTCTCGGCTGCTGTGGCTGGGCTGTGTTCCCATGCTTTGCCCTGCGTTAACCTTAGTTATCTGGCGATGTTTCTGTTTGTGCGCATTTTCTACTGCATTCATTGGAGCCTGGCAAGCAGTGGCAGTCTCTCAACTAGTGAAATAGAGCTGAGGCCGTGAAGGTTTTGCAATTCTGCCTGGCATATTTTCGTTTGTCATATTTACTTCGCGTGCCGTGTGATCATACATTCATACGTGCCCGTACAGTGCATTGCAGTGCAGCGAGGGCTGGTTGGTTACCTTGTCAGTTAGCGAGATCATTTGTGCACGTCATACTTATGGAAATTGGTCTCAAGCCTGTGAAATTTGGCAGAAAACTCTGTATTTGAAACTCAAAGATTTCTCTCTTCTGGAGTTGAAGGGACGAACTGTCTAGCAGTTAACACGAACCAGGATTAACGTTTAGAGCATTCTGCTGGGACACCACACGGAGAAAGACTGGAAAGGGAATATATAGAACTAGAACCTTTTTAAAGTGTATCAGCCGATCTGGCTTACGAATTTATGCCAACTATCAAGGAATTTCTAAGGTTTTGGACGGAATGGGAATTGCTATTCTTTCTACTTCTCGAGGTAAGGCAAACCCATTACATCATGGATTCGTAAATTCAACTGTCCCTGTACATAGGATGACGAGTACAGGACGCTTGCACGGTATCTTCCCATGGTAAGTTGAATCGAGATAAATTACTTCCCTACTCTGGTTTGAATCAGTGCTCCTGTATTTTCTACTTTTGGCTAATTCGGGGTGCTCTGGACTTTGGAGTCTGTATTTTCTACTTTGGCTAATTCGGGGTGCTCTGGACTTTGGAGTCTGGTCACCAGCTAAACAATTTTGAAATTGATGTGCCTTTTTAAATGATGAGAGGTTTCGCAATTTCGTTGTGGATCTAGCCAATCTGTGTTTTGCATAACAGTGCACACCGCAAACGTCCTGTTCAATTTTTTCTCAAACCAGTTGGCAGCTATAACTAATTCCGTCATTATATATATATTTAAAAAAAACTGATTTTTTTGTTTCTTTTACTTCAGTATATAAACAATTCGTCAGTTTTGAGAAATGTAATTACCTTTTATTTTTCAATTGCTTCTATCTGCGCAGTCATATTCGCCATAAGTTCTGGCATATGCAGGTTTTGTTCTGTCTGCATGGGTATATACAAATCTTCCACTGGCTCTTTATAACAGTTGGGGATCAAAGAAAGTTGCATATGAGTTCTGCAAAATGTCTGATATCATCCGTGCAGCTTTGTGGTGAGCGTGAGCCTAATTTGAGTGATGATGACAGTGTAAATGTGATCTGAAATAGCGAAGAACTGGTAGGTCTTTACTAACATTGGGCAAGAATCAGATTGGTAATCATGCTAGATTGCTTTTTTTTAGATAATGGAGTGAAGGTTCCGGCTTCAGCCCTCTTTAAAGAAGAGCCAGTCCACACTTATTACAACAAAAAACGTCTTGGACACCCAAAAAGTTCAACTTAAGAAAACACCATTGTACAAGTGTACCTGCTATGGCTAATAATTGAAGATATGGAAATGGTACCTGTTGTTGCTAATAATTGAAGATATGGAAATGGACCGTGGTTTTTTACTCCTCGCATTGAGGATGGTTTTCCACGTAAATCACTGTTGTTGGGCATGTTACTTTGAGTTATTGCTGGTCTGAATACTTCTTGCACTGGTAAGTGCAAATGTTAATTCCTAATTGCAATAACAGAGGAATTAAAGATGCACCATAACTAGAGGTCTATGGAGTCACTTCATCAGGGGTCTGAATCACTTCCTTCTTGTTGATTTTCTTTCTATGATTGAGTTTGCATCATTCATACCATATGTAGGGTCTTCTATGTTACTGTTTCAGAGAAAAACAGGGGGTAAAATCATTTACCTTTCATTTCCATTGGACTTCAGAACTGATATTCTTGTCTTTGCTGTAATACTTGTTATGAATTAGCGATATCTCTGAAGGTATAGCTTCCTAAACTATCATGTGCTGAAATAGGCAATGTGCAATGTTCTCTCATGGGAGAATGAAGTTTTATGGTTCGCCAGCATTTGTACCTGCCAATCTGCCATCCTCTCATAGTCTCATACGTTTTGTGCAACTTGCTGATCAGCCTACCGGCAACACGAAATCTTCGTTGGAGGCCGTGGCCTGCTTGGACTGTTTTTAACAGGCTGCTGCTTGTCTACACATCCTGGACGGCATTGGTTTTTCAGCCAGAGTTATACCCTGCAGGTTCCGTGCAAGACTGCGTCAACTGCAGTCAGCAGATTCCACAGGGACTCGAAACGATCTACAGTCTACAGAGGAGCAACACAGGAGAACTAAAAATGGCACTGGAAGGAGATGGGGAGAAAACTCAAGATGAATTTGGTGTCCGAGATGCTACATTACAACACGCATAGAACATACAAGTACACAACAACCTGCCCATCCACACCCATCTCACGCCTAGAAGTAAACATGCACATCCTGCAATCCTTTCCTTTCGTTTTACAGTTACACAACTGCTGCTCCCATGAACAGACCTACCTAAAATGATATCTCACTCGGTGCATGGAATGTTCGCCCACGGCAGATTGCTTCCAGGTTCTCTCCGGCGTAGGAGGAAAGCGGAGAAACTTCAACGCCTATGAAGTGGAAGCAAGCAAGCATCATCAGAGAAACGATACAGGCACTAGTCAATGTTGTTTCCATGTTTACTACGAGTGCTTAATCACCAATATGGCAAATTACCTGTCATATACAAGGGCACAGAATGCGTCAAGAAGCCACCAGCGGCGACTACCCATCTGCTATGTAGGCGGAGCAGCATGAGCTTCGCGCTATCAGGGGTGTCATATGTTGCGCCGTTGGCATTCTTTACTGGTGCGAATTCCTCCTCCCGCATGACCTGAATTTTAACAGAAATGCACCGGTAAGTTTTTCCTGCTCTTGATGAGAAACAAAAATAAGACAATATGTGAACTATGGTTAGATAAAAATTCCAACCTCAAAAAGTGCCGTGGATGGGGAATAAGTGAAAGCATCGAATATAAACTGTTCAAGCTTCAGGCCTGTTGTAAACCCATGGATGGAAGGAATCTTCTTCTCAGCTAGATGATATCTGGTCACAGGATATAAAATGTCAGGTTCTAGTGCTACAATATAATATAATGTACCTTCGGACACGATCCTTGCCAGGTAAAACTACTTCACATGACATGTCTTTTACACATTACTAAAAGGCCACAAAGTAGAGTTCTATAAATATCATGTGTTTTAAGTCTGGCACTCTCTCATGAAAGAGCTACAAAGCCATCATTTGGAACTAGGAGTAGATAACTAATGTGGTTGCCTACTCTATTGTTGAGGGCCGACTTGCAAAATTTTGAAAGAAGACAAACTAGAGAATACTCACACACTGTCCTTTTCAAGGCTGTTTGCCACTTGATTCAAAAAGTCCAGAGTGAACATGTGCAGGCAGATCTATACAAAAGGAAAAAAGAGATAATATGCAACTGTTACACTTTGGAGGGAGGGAGGAGGAAAGGGAATGAGAAGCATCATACATTGCTCCAACAATAACGAAGTCGCCCTGTTGATTGATTAATTTCAGTAGTCATAGCTGCATCCATTTCACTGTACTCAACCACCGAGAGAGGTCCACCACGACCTCGTTGAACAAATACCCCAACATTCTCTTGTGGATAAGCCTGTTGAGTATTCAATTGACTATCAATGAGGTGCATTGCTATGACAATGGTAGCCCACCAGTTTGAAGCATGAGACTGGACTGTACCTTCCTAACCACTTTGGCAGCAGAAGATACACCTTTGTCAATGAAGTACCCTAAGAATGTAGGATCAGAAACTCGAACCTATAAACATGGCACTAGTCAGAAAAAGAAAAGGAAAACAAAACACAAGGATTTATCCCAAAACATATGTCCTCACCAGTGCATTGTCAACTCCGTAGCAATCTACATATTTCACACCCCGTGCAGCCATGTCTTCCAACAACTTTTTGGACTTCAGCGCTGTGAGATGTTATGATAGCCAAACTAAGCATCTAACAGGATTGTTTAGTAAATGATGCGATTGAAGTTGAATTTTTTATGGGGATTACCAGCATAAACTCCACCATTGCCATCAGGAGCCTTTGCTACCTGGTTTTATGCACAGCAAAGACAACAAGACTGTCACAACTTAGCATTGGAAAATAGTCAGTATAAAAAAAACTTTGTAAAATGAAATCTGAATTTAACAATTGGACTCCACGAGTCAAACTCGTAGATCAAGTTGCAAACACAAAAAATTATGGCTCCGACTATACAAGGTCAAAGCAGAGTTTAGAAGTTGAAGAAGATTGTACCCTATATGGTGTCTCCATAATAAATCTACCATCAGCAGAAACACATGGAAGTGTGCCTTGTTGGAAAAATGACACCTGCCAAGAAAAGGTTTAAGCCTAATCAGGAAACAAACATCTTACTAATGAATTGAGTCTTGTGCATTTTGTTGAAATACGGTGGAGTATTTAGCATGGCAAATAATTTTTAGTAGCACCTACTTGCTCAGGGTCCAAGCCAAAATATCTACGGGTTTCGAAGAATTTGTGAGTGGCAGCATCTGTAAAGGGGCTTGTCATTATATACAAGTGGATCGGCACAGTGTTACTCGGACCTGCAAGTTATTATCAATTTGAGTGTGATAATCTGAAGCGAAGAAAAGATAAATAACTAGAAATATGATGGATTACAAACTATTACTTTCACTAGATTGAGCAGCCAGCTTTTGAACACACAAAATTCGTTCAGCTTGGAGTTGGAAAAGTGACTTTCCAGATGGAAGTCCAATATCTGAGGCCAAAAAAAAAATGTTATCCATCATACAGAATGGGACATCACATTTTAGGAAAAGGCCAATTACACCATCTCTGTAGTTCCAAAATAGGAAGAAATAATTCACCAAAAAATATGTCATTGACAAAAAATATGATACATATGAAGCAAGAGATAATTCACAGCAGCAATAGCATGCATTTCTGTGGTTCCAAAATAGGAAAAGAAAACTCATAACATTGCACATGTGAGATATGAAGTTAAGTACTAACATACAACGATTCAGGTCAAAGCAACTTACTGAAACATCCCTTAGGATCTGAGCTTCCCAGTCGAGTACCCTGGAAGCAACATTAGGATAAATATCATACATATTATTTCCCAATTCAGTGCATAAGTATATATATACCAGATACTAGACAGAAGAAGACTTCTCAGAATTCAGAGTACCTGACCACCGGCCAAAAGGACAACGGCCAGCTTCCCCTCCGAGATGGCTTTCAGCCCCTTCTTCCACCATCTTTCTTTGTCCTCAGGAGACCTGTCCTCCACCTTCGAGACACTAGATTCCGGCACGGGCTCGACAGCAGGCAATGGGATGCCTATGATTGGGATGAACACCACATAACTCTAACTGAGGATACCAGTTAAAGATTCACGTGACAAAGCGTTCTACATTGGAGCAACGAATATTCTTCCACCTCTCACCTTGTGATCCAAGGGACCGCCGGATGATCCGATCGATCCTTGAAAGGTCTAGACTCTGAAGAATACAGCACAGAGTATGATTTAGCAACTGTCAGAGTGGTAAGATGAAAGAAGAAAAATGCTGCAGACTTCCTTCTGCTGATAGAACAAGAAAAGGTTCAAGGACATTGGTGGAACTGGGAATTGCCCAGAAACACATACTGAAACTGTTAGTACAACGAATCATCTTATCCAAAAGTATTAACTTAACTGCTTGAAACCAAATCAAAAAAACATTCCTGAAGAGTTCCAGCTTAGAACGGAATCTATATGCATGAACTCCAACGCAGAACCAAGCCGTTACACAGAATTCATACCCATTAATAAAGGTTTATGCAGAAATTAGTCCTTAATAGCTGGATAAAAAACAAACAACAGGAATCTTTGCCGTGGCGTCGAAGAGTGGAGAAGAGTTACACAACAGCAACAACAGGAATCAGAACAATACGCACTGATAATTCCAACGCAAGAACAGACCTTCCACGCGGAATTCCAACTAAAAACCAAATCTTTGCCGCGGAACGCGAAAGCCTGGGCCCGGCACAGCCGGAGCCACCGCGCATTGCTGCTCACCTCGATGTCCCGGACGAGGAGCTCCCGGTCCTCGGGCGAGAGATCGTCCCAGAGCGCGAAGGCGCCCTCCTGGCCGTAGTCCTTCATCCTCTCGAGCATCGCCTGCGGCGGCGCGGCGCCCCACCTCCCCACCGGCCCCGGCGCCGACAGGCCGACCACCATCTCCTCCTTCATCCCCTTCAACTCTCTGCTCCGCTCCGCTCCGCTCCTCACCGCCCACAGCGCCCACCGCACAAGCAAGCAGCAGGAGCAGGTAGTGGTAAATGGGAGAGAGAGAGAGAGAGAGAGAGGGATTAGAAAGAGAGGGAGAGGAGATCTGTGATTGGGCAATGATACTGGTTTGGCCAAAGATGCCAACTCGGACGACGGATTGTTCTCGGATCGCCGTCGCCGGTGGGTGGGCCGCCTGCGCGTTTATATACCGGGCGTGATCCCTGTGCAAGTGTGCATGTGTCAGTCTCGCACCCTCGTCCTCCTGGATTAATTTGGACGCGAGCAGAGTACAGCGAACGGCGTTGGACACTTCCTGCAACAAGAAATCTAACCCTGTCATCTTCTGTGGCGGATATGGTTATAGATTGATCAAGATTATTATAAACCCTCTCTAGTAAGTACTGTACCAATCAGTTCCCCATTCATTTTCCGCAGATTCAATTTCGCATCGCGGTGGATCTTCAGGAGAAGAATTCAGGCAGTTCTGGACTTCTTGTTCACAACTATAGTAGTAAAATGTGCGGAATTCAGGCAACTACTAATATTAAAGCTTTTGTTATTAGTAGTAAAATGTGCAGGATTCAGGCGACTACTAATTTTGTGAATTGTGACCTCCGAGGACGACGACCAAGGACAGCTAAACGAAGAACATCCATCTCGCTGCCAGTGCCTGCCCACTTCCTCCCTTTTTTGCAGAAAAAAAAAAACAATTGCCTGCTCATTTCAGGCCCCTTCTGTTTGTGTCTTTCTTAATCGGTTAATCACATGATACAAATAGGATAAACCATCGCCTACCCACCCGGCCAGGCCCAACCCAGTGTTTGACTGACACGGAGGGTCATTAGAAGGCATCTAATCTGTGGTCTTTGTACTGACAGGAGATAGCTAGGAGTAGCAATAGATGCAGCTGAGATGGTGGAGGCATGATGGAGCATGTCCCGTGCATGGGGTTCGCGTAAATTTTCATTTTTGGAAGCTTATGTGCACTGTCTGGTTGTCATTGCCCATGCACGATACGAGCATGACTGCCTGACGACGCGTCGGTCTGCAGCCCAGGATCGTCTTCATGGCCGCACCTATGTAACACCCCGTTTGGCCAAAACATCGTATGAGCATCATAATTGTGTGCATATGTGTATAACATGAATTATAAATCGATGTTCGGCACTTGAAACATTTATATGAAACATTATGTTTTATGTCACATAACGTTGTTTAGTATTCTGATCGAATTCTTGTCAAAACAAAAATGTTATTAAACGTTTTGCGAACGGCGATAAAACATGTGCGGTCGAGGACAAGGATAGTTAGCTAGTACATCCAGTAGGTCGAAATTGGGATTCGACGCGAAACCATTTGCAGTTAAGTCGTTCCGCGCAAGTTTGAAAGAAGGTCGACGAAGCCACCTTTGGCAATATTTGTAGAGCGATCGGCTTAGGAAATGGTACGATATCTTGACTCCGAACGACAGCCCAACGTACCCTCTTGTGCATCGAACGGTTGGTTTGGCTTTTGGAGCATCGTGTACAAGTTTTCAAGCTGCTTTAAAAAGCGTGCACGGCATATGACTTAGCTCTGGGCTCGGTCACCACTTGGCTTGGCACGCTGCTGGCTTGCCAGCGCACTGCCGCGCCGGCCGCGTCCGTTGCCGCGCTGGTCGCGTCCCACCGCCGCACCTGTGCACGCGCACGGCCTTTGCGCTGCGTGCCAAGGCTGCCTGCCACCGCCGCCGCTGCTGGTTCGCCCAGCGCGCGCGTCGAAGCGCCGGCCGCATCCTCACTGCCGTGTTGCACCGCACGCACGGGCTGGCTGGCTGCTGCCTTGGCTGCTTGCTGCCCTCGCTGGCGCGCGGGTCATCTCGCCGGCTGGCGCGCTGCGCCCAGGACGCCGACCAAGCTCTGCGCCATGTCCTGCCCTACTTTGGCCGGAGGCGCACCAGGTCCCGCGCTACACGCCGCCAGCGGCCAAGCCCGGCACTGCTCCGTTGACTCCCCTTGGCTGCTCGCGCGAAGGACGACAGCCTGCTCCACCATCACCTTCGCGTCACTCGCACTGTGTTTTCCTTGTCTGGCGCTACCCGCTGCGATGTCGTGCCGAACCTCGTCTGCTTGCGGCCGCGGCCGTGCGGACAGTCGCCTGGGGCACGTCCCGCTGTCCCCCATCGTGGTGCGTGTGGGCTTGTTGCGTTGACATCCGCAGCCAGACCGAGCCAAGCCACGCCAGGACCCCCTGCCTCCGCTGTCTCCATGGCCGCCGGGGCGGCTCTTTCAAATTCGCCGTGGCAGCAGTGCCTTGTTTCAAATTGAGCATGTTTTTTATTCCGCTAGGTAGCCTGCAGTCGTACCGACCCCACATCGCCGCCTGTAGCTCCGTCCTGTACTCCAATTTTGAAATGCCGCGCCGTCGGGTCCATAAGACCGGGGTGGTCTGCGTCGTCGGCTAACCGCACAACCAAGGCACCCTAGGGCGATTCAGTGTACCACCAGCCCAGCCTTACCCTCCTGAGCACCCTACGCACCTCGGTAGCAGTGTTGCTGCAGTCCAGCCATCACCGACGTGGCCGTGCCATCACCGGGTGCCGTCGCAGCATCGGTGTGCACGCGGCTAGCTCTGCTCGGGCCATCTCCGGCCGTACCGTTAACGCGAAGGAAGGGGACCACCGCCGGGGAGGGGGCTCGGGACAGCGCCTCTGCTCGCCATGTCACCAACAGTCGCTGCGCGTTGTCTTCAAGGTAACCATCGACCCCTTAGCTAGGCCTGGGAGGCTCGGGTGGCGCCGGCGTGGTCGCCCGGTGCCCGCGGCGTCGCGCCAGCGCGCGCACGGGTGTCGGGGGATGTCGCCACGGCGAAGAAGAAGAAAGAGGAGGGTGTGGTTGTAAAGACGTAGACTAGGGGAATAGTGTCTTGGAGCTCACTGTGAATACCGAATAGATCGAGGGCTTATTTGCGATTGCACCAGGCACGCGCGGGTCCACGTTGGGCCGCCAATGTTGGGCCGCGCTGAGGCCTGCTGGCACGCGCGGGCGAGAAAACGGCGTGGGCCGAGCCAGCACGAGTTGGGCCGGAGGGTAGGATTCGGTTTCCTTAATTCCAGTAAATAAGAAATGTTTATTTATTTTAGTTATGAATTGAACTTCGATAAATCATAGTAAATTGCGTAGTTGTCCAAAAATAGTGAGACTAATTTTGTTAGGTTCGCAAAAATATCATCTACTGGATAGTTCAGTTGGATTACAGTTAGCTATGGCGACTATTGGGTGATAAATTCCAAACTAGAGAACGAATATTAGGTAGGTGAATAATTGTGGGAATATTTGTGGATAATTGGTGATGGATATAGCCACAAAACTTTTACAGTAGGTCCACCAAGTTGTTATGTACTTGTTGTAAATTTTGTAGCCGCAGAATGGGATGTTAAATAAAATAGCTATTACCCTTGTTTTATCGTAACCCGATTAAATCGATATTAGGAGTAACAATACATGTAATTGCTATAAGGATGTATGTTATGTTTCATACTTGTTAGTGGCGACGGTACGTAGCTTAGCCTTTAGTGGGTAGACCTCACTTAGTAGTTTAATAGATGTACTTTTGGGTTAAGAGTTGTTGTTGTCATATTATTAAACATTGCATCATCATTTCATGTAGAGCACGAACTGGTAGACTTCGTGCCCGTCGGCGAGCTGGAGTACGATGAGGTGATCGAGGAGTACGAGGAGGAGATCTTCGCACAGGAGGAAGCCCAGGAGCCTGTTGGTGCTGACCCTGCTGACCCGGCGCCTGCCCAAGGCAAGCCCCGGTGCATAACCCATATTTTTATGATCACTGAATATATATATGTGATGTGCATTTAAGTTACAGGCATTTTATGGAAACTACCTACATAAACATAACTACCCATGAGTCCTACTAGTACAGGTCGAGTAGCTGCTATGCTCATGATATCGGTAGCGTAAGTAACCTGCCGTTACTCGCAAATAGGTAATAAAATATGAACACTCATGATAAAATGGTGGAAAGGAAAATGGTGACCGGGCAGGGATATGGATTGGGTACTAGTGGGTGTAAGGGGTTGTGTCCTGCGGGCAACAGGGCATGACTTGGTTACACTTTTTCCCTGTCCGTGTCGATTAAGGACCGGTCGTTGCATATGACTCTAGGCAAGTCACAGATTATTGTCCCGAGCGCATACTTGGGTATGGGTGCAGGGAAGGCTTGCTGCTCTCTTGTCGTGGATCTGGCTCTTTTCGGACCGACTGATGGGAAGAGGGGGTGGTGGAGGTCCTTGCACCACACTGAGTCCGAGACTCAGGAGTGGGGGCTTGGAGTCCAAGTTTGGACGGGGACCTGGACACCCGGGATAGGAGAGTGATGGGTTAGTCCGGCTTGTGCATGGGGTACAAGCGGGGCGTGTGTTTTCGAGGCACCTAGCTGGGCACATTGATTCGCGAATCGCCGAGAAATCCGGTACGGCTTGTTTGCGGTCTAGCACAGTAGTAAGAACTGAAAGTGGAAAAAGGAGAAGAAACATAACTATTTGCTCAACTCTTGCTTGAAAGTAGAACAGGTGCTTATATAGACTGGCTATATGATAACTTAATACGGCTGATAATAATAATACATAAATAAGGGCGCACTACTAGTATTGCTTTCTGCTAAAGAAAACCAGTAATCCATAAAGCCTATCATATTCCTTGGAGTCGGGAAATTATTCCCACTAGTCGGATAAGTCTTGCGAGTACATTATGTACTCAGGGTTTATTTACCCCTGTTGCAGGTGATGCTTGAAGAGTATCTTTGTGTGGAGGATCCTTCTGGTGGGCTCAGACGGAATCCTTGCCCCTTACCGCTAGATGTTATTTTTAATTTCCGCTGTTATCATTCCGCACTCTGGTATTTGGTATTGTAATAATGTACTTTTTAAGAAACTCTAATGTATGAAATGGACTTGTGTTGTAACT